TAATCGTCTGGATTTCTATCTGTAGATTTAGAATCATTTCTAATTTTTCATATATTTTGTCATTTTGTTCTTATAATTTCTTCCAAAATTCTTCTAGGATTTTGTCTGTGTTTTCCTTGGTCTGTCTCTCAATCCTTTGAAGATACCTAAATATAATTCTTTTGAATTCCTTATCATGGAGTTCCAATGCTGCTGCTTTCTCAGGGATGTGTTTGGGTCTGTATCCTGGTCCCTTGTTTCTCTTGCTTTATTTTGCTTCTTTGTGTGGACTGTGATACTCTGTTGTCTCCGAGGCATTGTGACGTTTTTGTGTTTATATGTAATTGGTAGATTATATGTTGGGGTGACTTGCCCACAATTTGTCTTCTTTGTTTTATTTGTATGTTATCTATACAGGCAGGGTACTGTGCTGTCCTCCTCTATTCACAAGTTGACAGCACTTACACACTTACCACCTGTCTCATTTCCTGTTGTCAGGCTCTTGTATATCCTTGCTGACCCTGGCAAACAGAGCCTGTTCTTAGGTCCCTGGAATCTGAATGAGAATGCTATCACTTTAAAATCCAAAATGGTTGCCACTTGTAAACATTCAAAATGGCTACACCCTTGGTCACTTTAAATATCCAAAATGGCTGCCACATGTAAACAATCAAAATGGCTGTGCTCTCTAGACAGCAGAAAGTCCACAGCTCAGGTTGTCTCCCTCCTTGCTGGTTTCTTTCCTAGTCATAGGCCACCAGAGCAGTTGTCCCTGCAGCCTTTGGTGAGTGGGACTGATCAGTCCCAACACCACTTGGAAATATTCAGGCTGTTGGTCTCATCAGAGTAGCTGACAGTCTGCAGCTCCAACCATTTCTCTACTCACTGTTTTTGTTCAGACTTTTCCACTATTTGGTGCCTAATCCACTTCTGTATCATTCCTTTCAAAGCTCAGGGTTCCAGGCTTATCTTCTGTATCTCTGTCAATTGGTTTTTCTTTTCTTTGTTGAAGAGGGTCTGTCTGCCTATTCCTCCATCTTACCGGAAATCTGTAAAATATTTTAATTGATGGATTCTCTTCAGGAACCCCTCTGGTAACAAAAGCAGATGAATCAGATTTAGGAAAGAAAGGATAAGGGATTGACATTGTAAAAAAATAATAATCACGTCCTTCCTTCTACTTCCATAATGATATACTGCCTTGGAAACCCAAAGAGGGGTAACTATGAGTCAGGTCCAACTTGACGGCACATAACAACAACAGCAACAAGTAGTTACTCAGGAGCTCTGATAGCGTAGTGCCTCAGGCATTTGACTGCTAACCAGAAGGCTTGTGGTGCAAACCCACCAGCCACTCCTTGGGAGGAAGGTTGGGCAATTTACTTCCATAGAGATATGGCTTTGGAAATCCAAGGAGGGGTCACTATGAGTCGAATCGACTTGACGGCAGTGAGTTTGGTTGTTTTAGTAGTTACTTAGGATTTCTAGCTGCTGGGATTGACTATCTCAAACTTACCTTAATGAATATAACTAATAAAATTATGAAGATGTTAATGGTTTTTCATACTTACAGTAAAATATAGTTTGTGTTTTCTTTTTTTTTGCTTTTCTCTAGTTATGTTTATATCAGATAATGAAAGTTTTAATCCTTCATTGTGGGAGGAACAGAGGAAACAGCGAGCTCAAGTGGCATTTGAATGTGATGAAGACAAGGATGAAAGGGAGGCACCTCCCAGGGTGAGCATATACTTTCTGCCTTCAAGTTTGACACAGGTCTGCTGATACTCACTGGGTGCTGTAGTTTGGAAATAACAAAACAAGTGTTGGATTAGTTCCTTGCACTCAGGGTACTTACTGAGCCAGTACATTTTACACATGAAGTAATTCGAGAGCAGTATAAAAACTATGTGACCAAAAGTTAAAGTTTATAATATGTTTAAATATAGAAGAAGATCATCGTGGGCTACAGCAGCTAACTAGAGCTTTATCTTGTATTAGTACCCTTTTATTTAACTCTATGGAAGGAAAGTTTGGTAATCTACTTCTGTAGTGATACCACCTCGGAAACCCAAGAAGGAGTCGCTGTGAGTTAGATCTGACCTGATGGCACATAACAACAACAACAACAACAATAACAACATTTAACTCTAGAGTTTAGTGCTTTTGGAGTTATTGTTTCTTTCTTTCTTTTGTTTGGTTTAATTGTTTTTGTTTGCTTGTTTTAGATATATGAAATGGCTATTTCTTCCACTTCCCTTTCTTAAATGATTTATTTATGTGCTTCCTAGTGATAACTCTTTGTTATAAACATTTTGTTCTTTATGGGATTGAGAACATGTGTGGCAGTTACAGAAACAGCAAAATACATTTCTAAGTTATCTGTGGATATTATTTTATTTGCCCCTTTTTATAGACTAAATTAGTCATACCAAACAACAATTAGGCTGACCTTCAAAAAGCTTGGTTCCTGGTTCAGAAAACGTAAGTATAAAAAATCTGAATCATATGTATGTATAGATACAAATCAGTCTGGGAAATGTCATTTGTCTCAGAGACAAGTGACAGGGTTTTTCACATAATCCACACTTTACATCTCTAAATGGAAAGTATATCAGTCTGCTAAAATATCTTTTGGGAGTTCTGGTAGTGTAGTGCCCAAGTCATTTGACTGCTAACTGAAAGGCTGTTGGTTCAAACCACCAGCCACTCCTCGGAAGGAAGGTTGGGCAATCAAGCCCAAGGAGAGGTCACTATGAGTCAGAAACGACTTGACAGTAGTGAGTTTGATTTTTTGGTTTAAAATACCCTTTAAAACATAATGAAATTTGTAAATGTGTAGTCTTTTGAGTATTCTTTGGTACCAGACTTTTATTTACCTGTTGGCTATTTTTTGAAAACTATATTTTTGTTTAACTGTTGAAGTCCAAAATGCTTTCAAAGACCTATAATCTATCTCATAGTTATCCCGCTGAACTAGATATTCAATGTAATCGGGATGGATATAGGTTAAATTTTGTTTTACATTGATGTTAGAAATAGATATCCATGTTTCAAATTTTCCTTACTCTGTTTCTCTAGGAAGGAAATTTGAAGAGATACCCAACACCGTACCCAGATGAGCTTAAGAATATGGTCAAAACAGTTCAAACCATTGTACATAGATTAAAAGATGAAGAAACCAGTGAAGACTCTGGAAAAGATTTGAAATCACATGAAGATCAGCAAGTTGTAAATAAAGATGTGGGCGTGAAGGTTAGAAAACTTAATTCAGAAGATTTAACTGAAACCTATTTCAAGTTCTTTAAAATTTTAAATGACAATTGATGTAATGAACCTTTTTACTAATGCTAAATTGTACTCTCAAATTTATGGTTTTGTTCTCAGCTCTCTGAACTGGGACACTATAATAATCATTAGCTAATTCCCTAACTGGTACCATCACCACCTGTGTGGCTATAGAATGTCTGAATGGGCTAGTATATGTGTCTGGATACAAATCTATTGGGAATGTAATCTGTTTCAAAGTTAAGTGACAGAGTTTTATCATTGTCTGAACAAAAGAATAAGATAATAATTGTCAGAAACTTACCACTGTGGAAATACTTTTTTTTCCACCTCTGGTAAAACTCCTCCTCTATCCCATTCTAATTTAAATATAATTGGTATGATAGACCTTTGACATTTCCTTGGGATATTTCAGAAAGATTCACAAATCTCTAACCTATGTATTCCTTTTAGTTGACATTTTCACCCACACTGTATCACAGAAACAAGTATTATGTCCCTGCAGGAGATATAATACTTAATATAAGATAATACATAATAAAGGAGCTCTGCTAATGTTTAGTGGTTAAGCACTCAGTTGCTTACTGAGAAGTCAGAGGTTTGAACCTACCATCTGCTCTGCTGGAGAAAGAAATGTCAATCTGCTTCCTTAAAGATTTAGAGCCAATTATTATAATTGCTGTCAATAAGTTGTACACCTAAAAAGTTAAATTAGCAAAAGTTGTGTCATAAATACACTTATAACAATGACAGAAAAAAAGAGTAGCTACTGAGGCTGCTTATGTACAAGCAAAAATCTCATGGTATTTGGTTCCTTGGTTTAGATATTTAGGGTCATGATTTCATGCAACATCCCAGTTAATGACCAAATAACATGTTTAGTGCTTCTGTTCTGCCTCCTAGTATATTGCATAGTGGCTGGGATCTTAAAAACTTGCAAGTGGCAATCCAAAGCACAATAATTGTTCTTTATTCACCTGGAACAACAGAAGAAGAAAGAGAATCAGGAATAGGAGAAGCATATGGAATGTGTAGCTAATTGCCTCCATGAACAACTGCATCCTTTACCATGAAACCAAAGAACTAGGTGGTGCCTTACTACCATTACTGAACATTTTGATCAAAGACTCCATATAATAATCCTGATCAAAAGGGGGAGAAATGTAGAACAAAATTTTAAATTTTCATGGTCTCTAGACTTTCTGGAGCCATGGAAGGTAGATAAACCCCTGAAACTATTGCCCTGAGATCATCCTTAAACCTCAAACCAAAAATATCCCCTAAAATTTTCTTAAACCAAACAATAGCTTGGCTTAACCTGTTTCACAGGTCTGCCTTGAGTGTTACGCTCTTTTAAGAACTGTATGAGATCAAATTGACATCAGTACCTCATAAGATTAGATGGGAACCTTAGGGGACAGTGAGTTGATACTAATGAGGGAAGAATAACTTAGAAAAGGAGGGTGAGCATTGTTGCATAACTCAAAGAATGTAATCACTGTCACTAAATAGTACATGTGGCAGCTGTTGAATTGATGTATGTTTTGCTAAGTATATTCTCAACAACAACAAAATAAATAGTAAATAAATAGTCAATATGAGATCAAATAGTCAACATTTACCCTAAAGCAAAGATGAGAAGATCAGAGTGGGCAGGGAAGCTAGATTAATGGAAGCCAAATAACCACAACAGAAGTAATAAGAATGTTGACACAATGTGGAAAATGTAACACATATAAAAAAAAAAATTGTTAAATGGAAACCTAATATGCTGTATAAACTTTCACCAGAAACACAATAAAATATTTTTAAAAATTCAAAAAGATTTACAATCTTGGAAACCCTCTGGGGCAGTTCTGCTTTGTCCTGTGGTGTCCCTATGAGTTGGAATCAACACAACAGTGATGGGTAAGAGTTAACTGTAGGAGTCCTTGGGTGGTGCAAATGGTTAAGCACTGGACCACTAACAGAAAGGTTGGCAGTTCAGACTCATCCAGAGGCATCTCATGAGATAGACCTGACAGTCTGCTTCCAAAAGGTCACAGCCTTGAAAATCCTGTGGAGCAGTTCTGTTCTGCTCTACATATGTGGTGTCGCCATGAGTTGGAATTGATGGCAACTAACAGCAACAACAGATTTAATATATATTCTGCAATGATCAGAAAAAAATTTAAGTACCCTGAGTTGAGCATGCTGAGCAAAGTAATTCATACAAGTAACTCCTTACAACTTCTAAATTAGCCTCAGCTAAATTATAAATTTTAATGTGGTTTATGGATCTTTTGGCCCTTGCTGGGTGGTGCAGTCAATTATTGTACTTAGTTGCTAACCAAAATGCTAGAGATTTTAGTCTACATCAGAAGGAAGAGCTGATGATCTACTTCCAACAAATTAGCCATTGAAAGAAAACCCTTTCTTTGGATCACAGTTCTACTGTGACACACCTAGGGTGGCCATGAATTGGAATCAACTTGAGCAACTGGTTACTCATTATAGGCTTTTGAGGGACACTTGTTCCTAAAATGAGCATTTTATCTGTGACTGCAATAGATTTCTATGTTTAAAGTTTCCTTGTTTAAGATTTATCTAGAGTAGGAAGATGGTTAATTACTTTCACATTTTAATCTGAGTACATTAATAGATATAGAACTTGAAAAATATCAATTCTTTATCTTTCCTTTTACTTAGACTTCAGAAAGTACTACTCCAGTAAAAAGTAAACCTGATGAAAGAGAGAAATATATGATAGGGAACTCTATACAGATGATCAATGAACTTGAAGCTGAGATCAATCCTGTGAATCTGCCAGTGACTGCACATGTGAAAGTCTCTGACAACTTGAAGCATATTGTTAACCATGGTGATGTTTTTGAGGTATGGCTTTATGGTTTTCTCTGGAGCAGTCAAAAGAACTTTCAATGTAATATTACATTTTTGCTAACTAAAGATAAGAGAAACCTCAATATTAAAAAAATAATTATGCTTACTAATGTGTTCTTCATTGAGAAATTTTATAATATCTGCTAAAATACCACTTATTACTTTAAACTTATTATACCCATTGTTCTCAAATTTTACTTTGTAAATTAGCTTATGGAGGTTCTGTCTCCTCTAAACTTCTTGTTTTTTTTAATGCATAATTGTGATTGCTTTTACTTCTGTAATTTAAAAATGAAAGGTAAAATTTGCTATAGTTCTTCTTCTTTGACTTAAGTAAGTATTTATTCTTGAAGGTGAGGTTATATTTTTCTTGACTGTCAGATAAATTTTATTAGATGACAGGGTTTTTTCTAGAACCACCAGTATAAGCTGTAGCTTTGAAAAACAAAACAAAGCCAGCATCATGAAAAGTAATTTACACACTATATAGTTCACTCATTTAAGATGTATGGTTCAGTGGCTTTTGGTGTATTCATAGAAACATGCAACCATCACTACAATTAATTTTAGAGCATTTTGAGTACCCCCAAAAGAAACCTTGCACCCCTGAGACATCATCCCCAGATGCTCCATCTCCCTCAGCCGGGCAACCACTAATCTACTTTCTGTCTCCATAAATTTGCCTACTCTGGACATTACATACAAATTGAATTATACAATATATGCTTTTTTGTAACTGACTTCTTCCACTTTACATAATGTTTTCTGGTTTATCCATGTTGTAGCATGTATCAGTATTTCATCCCTTTCTGTGGCTGAATAATGTCCATTGTATAGATACAACACACTTTGGTTATCAGTTAGTGCATACTTGAGTTGTTTCTACTTCTTTGGTATTATGAGTAAAGCTGCTATCAACCTTCATAGACAGGTTTCTATGTGGACATTTCTTTTCTCTTGAGTACATACCTACAAATGTAATGGCTAGATGATATAGTAACTCTATGTTTAACCAGTGGAGGAACTGCCAGTTTTCCAAAGTGACTGCATGATTTTACATTCTTCTGATATACTACTGGTAGCCATGTAATATGGTGAAGCTTTAACTATTTAAAATAACTATCTGAAATATTTTTGATTTATGGATGCACTATCCTATATGGTATATTGGCTATGTATAGCTATTTAAATTAGTCAAAGTTAAAAATTTAGTTTCTCAGTTCCACTAGCTGCATTTCAAGTGCTCACTAGCTGCATGTCAGCATTTTTAGGACCCTGTAAAATACTGTTTATTTTCCTCATATTAACTAGGAATCATTTTATTTCCAGAATATGTGATTTTTGTATATAGCATATAAAATATTCATTAATTTTTCTATTAATATTTGTTGACTGCTGTATCATTTGTTGCCATCCTGATAGCTCTCAATGGTAGATAAGCTAGGGAAGTTGCTTATCTGCATTTTTTAGAGAAAAATTTATAGAGATTAATTAAATTCTGTTTCCAAATTTGGCAGAGATTGACATTAGTTCATTTTAATGGCAGAATACTTCAGTCCAGCTGCTTCCTTGGAACCCAGTGATCCTTGAGAGAATAAATTTGAAAATTAAGGGGAGACATTTTGTTGGGTTTCCTCATGAAATTAAGTTTTTCAAGGCAAGGATTGTGTTTCATTAACCTTTGCTTCTCTAGCACCAATCACATAGTCATTCATTAATATACTTCAATTAGCATCTGCCACAGAAATCTCTATCACATGGGCACTTTGACATAGTTTCAGTAATTGCCATAGTTTTATTGCCCTATCTTGAAAATTTAATATATACTAGTTTTAGTCACTTATCATGAAAAATGTTTCATACATGTTCTCAATATTCTTTTTTCTTTGAAGTTCTGATGACTTGAAAAGAAATCAAAATGTAATTTTTATAAATATTTCCCCTTTTTTCTTTAAACTAGGAATCTGAAGAACTATCTTCTGATGAAGAGATGAAAATGGCAGAGATGCGACCACCATTAATTGAAACCTCTATTAACCAACCAAAAGTGGTAGCACTTAGTAATAACAGAAAAGGTTAGATGTTGAAGAAGAGCACTAAGAATAGAATTTATGAAAATGTTTGGAATAAATTTCATTAAATCTTACTATGTTACTGAAAACATGCTGTAGAGACAACTTTTAAAACAAACCTTTTCTAAAAGTTCTAGATCCTTGTCTCTCTTATTTTTAAACAAAGATAATGATAGATCTTTTCTCCCCTCATGATATTTATAAGGGTGTGGACTTAAGCATAGATTTTAATTCCATTTCCATTTCTGTGTGGCTATGATTATTGAATTACTTAATTTTATTAATGGGGATGTTTCTGACTTGACATACAATAAAGTTAATGATGATTTTTTTTATGCATATCAAGTGGACAAAAGGATCCAAGTCTAGTGCAGTACCTGGTGTATCCTTGATGCTCAGTATTATTTCACTCTTATCTATCCCAAGTTTTTTGTTAACCTTGCAGCTGTTCTTACATGTGATCTTAGTTTTTACAAACTTTTAGAAGGGAATAGATATCTGTACCTTCCCCATGTTCTTCGGTCACTCATCCCTGCCAGTGCCTGAATAGCTCTACATTATCTCCACCAAATTTTATCACCCTTACACTTTATGGTATCAATTAATAATAGTATTTCTTGAGCACTTACTAAATGATAGTTAATATTTTACATGTTTTATCATCTAATTTTCACAATAGTCTCATGATACAGGAAGAAAGGAGTAATGTAGGGAGTATAGCTAGGAAAGAACTTATCAACCATCTATTTAACAGTCCTTTAAAAATTAAGAATCCATGACCTCCAAATACATTAAGGTTAACATGACATGCTATGTTTTTCAACTATAAACACAATCTGGAATATGTGCACTGTACTCCTTAATTCTGTGGAACAGCTAAAATATCCCTAATTGATATAATATCCTATGGGTATAACTATGATATACACTATTTCTGTGATTTGGATAGAATTCATTTAGTTAAAAAATAGTCTTTAGAGTTGTAAAGGTAATAAATTGTTACACTTTTAACACTTTAAAAACAATAATAACTGGGAGCTCTGGTGGCATGGTGCCTAAGGCATTTGACTGCCAACAGAAGGCTGGCGGTTCAAACCCACCAGCCGCTCCTCGGAAGGAAGATTGGGCAATCTGCTTCTGTGGAGATACCACCTCAGAAACCCAAGAAGGGGTAATAATAGCTAGTTTTTACATTACATGCCTATAATGGAATATGAACAGCCCATTTCATTTATAAAATTCATACACATACAGCCATCTCACATGTTTGAAAATTCATTATTGATAAACAATTCTATGAAATGCTTATAAAACTTTGGGAGCTAACTTTGTGAAAATTCCTTGATTTATTTGATGTTTGTGTGTGTGTTTATATTAGACTGCATGGGAGCTCTGGTGGTTTAGTGCTTAAGGCATTTGACTTTCAGAGTTATTTGAATACGTTGCTCATTTTTATTATAAGAATAAAAACTAAATGCACTGCCATTGAGTTAGATCCGACTCATAGCAACCCCTCCTTGGGTTTTCAAGGCATTATCTCTATGGAAGTAGATTGCCCAGTCTTCCTTCTGAGGAATAGTTGGTGGATTTGAAGCACCAGCCTTCTGGTTAGCAGTCACATGCTTTAGGCACTATGCCACAATAAATTCCACATGTATGTGAAATAATGTTTTACCCAGATAAGTTTGCAAAGATTGTGAAATGCAACTATGTAAGATTACTTTTTCTTTATTGTGAATGAGTAAAAAAGCATGCTCACTAAAACTAGTTGATGGCCTTAGAAAATGTATAATATAATCTTGTCAGTAGTTAAAAGTAAATCAAATTCTGAATAATCCTAACATTGATTAGATTAAAATAATGATGCCACTTTTAAAATTCTCTAATCTTTGTGTGAATATACACAAAAGACCGACTTTGCAGGGATATCTCTGGTTACTTTCTATGTAACGTATAACTTCATATATGGAGCAGTACAGTATAAATGCCATTTTTCTTCACTGGAAAGCATTTCACACAAATTCTTGATGGCTTTATCATTCTTAAATTGTTTTCTTTCAGATGATACAAAGGACACAGATTCTTTATCAGATGAAGCTACACACAATAGCAATCAGAATAACAGCAATTGCTCTTCTCCATCTCGGATGTCTGATTCAGTATCTCTTAATACTGATAGTAGCCAAGACACCTCACTCTGCTCTCCAGTGAAAGAAACTCGTATTGGTATTGATTCCAAAATCAGGTTTGTCACCATCTTACAAAATTTATTGGTATAAAAAATAATAGCAAGGCAAATACAACATAGGCATTTAGAAGAATGATTAGATTTACTTTCTTTTTTGCTTCCACAAATGTATACAGAACTTGGGAGACTGATTCTTTGCTTTGTGTAGTTTTTTTGTTTATGTGTTTGACTTTAATAAAAATTGATTTAATATGGTTAATGTAATGTTTCAGAATCATGTTTAAAAGTGTCCTATCATCTTTACTCAACTATTCTAGTTTACTTGCTTTCTTTCAGTGTATTTGTCCATCTTTCAAACATTTCATTTCTTAGCACAGTCGTGAAAAGTCGCCACAGTCTGTTTTTCTTCATTGTTTAGCCCTATCAAACTATTTTGTGACAAAATACGTTGAGGATATTGATGGAAATGAATCTTGACGATACTTACGAATTTTCTTTTGTTTTCGTCTCTCAATTTAAAATAAGCCTATATTAAATACTATTAAAATAATACGTTTAAGTCACATACTTTGTAGTAAATGCCTTTTATTTGTGACTGCATCAACTCTTAATTTTTTATACCTGCACATTAACTAATTAGTTAATAATGTCACCCTTACTAATAAACTGAATTTTATGTTGTTTTTCATAAAATTATCTTTTTTTTAGGCAAGAAGATGAAAATTTTAATAGCCTCTTGCAAAATGGAGATATTTTAAACAATTCAACAGAAGAAAAATCCAAGATCCATAGTAACAAAGATTTTAACCTTCCTGAATATGATTTGAATATTGAAGAGCAATTAGTTCTAATTGAGAAAGGTGTGGACTCAACAGCCACATCTGATGAATCTCACAAATTAGACCATATAAATATGAATTTTAATAAACTTGTAACTGATGATACATTTCAACCAGAGATAGTGGAAAGATCAAAGACACAGGACATAGTGCTTGGAATGGGCTTTTTAAACACAAATGCTAAAGGAGAAGCTGAGCACTTGGAAAATGGAAACAAATATCCTAACCTGGAAACCATAAATAAAGTAAATGGACATTCTGAGGAAACTCCACAATCTCCTAGGAGGACTGAACCATTTGATATTGAGTCTTCTATTGACATGGGTATTTCTAAAAGCACTGAAGATCTCTCCCCTCAGAGAAGTGGGCCAATTGGGTCTGTTGTAAAATCTCATAGCATAACTAATATGGAGACTGGAAAACTAAAAATCTATGACATTCTTAGTGATAATGGACCTCAGCAGCCAAGTGCAACAGTTAAAATAACATCTACTGTTGATGGAAAAAATATAGTCAGGAGCAAGTCAGCCACAGTTTTGTATGATCAACCACTACAAGTATTTACAGGTTCTTCTTCATCTTCTGATTTAGTATCAGGTACAAATACAAAGGTGATTTTCAAGTTTGATTCAAATCATAATCCTGAAGAGCCAAATATAAGAGGCCCCACCACATGTGGTCCACAATCTACACCTCAGATATATGGTCCTCTGCAATATAATGTCCAGTATAGTAGTTGTAACAGCAGTACTGCAGCCAAAGATACTTTGTGGCATGCCAAACAGAATCTCCAAATAGATCATGTCAGTTTTCCTCCTCAGCGCCTTCCTAGATCAGAGAGCATAGAAAGCCACAATTATGCTAAACATTCTGCAAATATGAATTTCTCTAATCATAATAATGTTCGAGCTAATACTTCATACCATTTACATCAGAGATTTGGCCCAGCAAGACATGGGGATGTGTGGGCTCTTTCACCAAATGACCGACTCAATCCTGGAGTAACTCGATCTACAATTCAGCGACAAAGTAGTGTGTCCTCTACAGCCTCAGTAAATCTTGGAGATGCAGGCCCCACAAGGCGGGCCCAAATTCCTGAAGGAGATTATTTATCGTACAGGGAGTTACATTCAATGGGAAGAACTCCACCAGTGTTGTCTGGATCACAGAGACCTCTTTCTGCACGAACATACAGCATTGATGGTCCAAATGCACCACGGCCTCAGAGTGCCCGACCCTCTGTAACTGAAATACCAGAGAGAACTATGTCAGTTAGTGATTTCAATTATTCACGGACAAGTCCTTCAAAAAGACCAAATGCAAGGGTTGGTTCTGAGCATTCTTTATTAGATCCTCCAGGAAAAAGTAAAGTCCCTCATGATTGGCGAGAACAAGTACTACGACACATTGAGGCCAAAAAGTTGGAAAAGGTAATTGAAAATGAAGTGTTTTTTCTACTCTTTTGTGAATGCACTTATTTTCCTTACGCATACTTGACATTCTTCGTTTTCTAAATAAGGTAAAACAAGCTACTCTAAATTACTGATTATCTGGGAGTTTTTCCCTGGTACTATGTATGAAGTCTGAAGTTTAGACTTGGCTAGGACTCAAAATAGCTGAGATGGTAGTAAAACTTTGCCTTCTCTGACTCTCCAGTTTTTCTAAATAGGTATATATCCATTTTATATGTTTCTATGTGTGTCTCTTTTAGATTACATTCACATGGTATAAATAATACATATATATACGTGTACATATGTTTAGCCTTTTCTGACCTTGTGGTGTCATCTATTAGTAATGATTGATGATATATATGTATATGTAAAAAGAACAGTAAATTTACTGTATAGTTAACAGAATAACAAGAAATGTAAATATGTCATCTAGGATTTTTTTACTCCCAGTTCCACGTTATATAAACTAACATTGTCACTGACACAGTTTGCTTCTGGCATGCCATTTACTCTTGACTTTCTTAACTGCATTTCTGGCTTCCTTGAATTCAGTTACATGTTTCTGTGACTGTAGTGTAGTTTAGAAATAATTGGTAAAAATGATTTATGCTTCTGTTCAATTGATAACTTTATTTGTAGATGTCCATCCTTTGAAAGAAGTTAAAAATTTAAAATTTATCCCATAAAATTGGTATTAGAGCTGTAGTTAAGTGACCCAAGTATATAAGGCATTGAATTTTAGCCAAAAATAATCTGACCTTCATTTGTTAAAAAATAAGATGTGTTTTTTTAATAAACGAACAACTGAATGTATACAACCTCAGTCATTATTTTAAATTTATCAGAAATAAATGCCTGAAATATTACTAATGCTTTATAGTAATTCAATTGATACAATTGTTACTTTTTTTCATTTTTGTCTTTCACCTTTAAAATATTTGAGCATCTATAGGTCTTTTTTGTTGTTATGTGCCATTGAGTCGGCCCCAACTCATAGCTACCCCTCTTTGGATTTCCGAGGCAGTATCACTACAGAAGTAGGATTGCCCAGCCTTCCTTCTGAGGAGTGGCTGGTAGGGGTTTGAACCGCCAGCCTTCTGGTTAGCAGTCAAGTGCCTTAGGCACTATGCTACCAGAGCTCCTTCTATAGGTCTTAGACTACTTCTTTCTCATCTCTCCATTTTGTTTCATCCAAAATTATATATACATACTGTTGAAGTCGTGTGCTTTTCTAAGAAATTTGGAAATTTGTTAAGCAAGAAAGTAACATAACTGTTTCATAAGTAAACTTTTGGTGACAGTATGAAACTGGACTAGAGGAGAAAGAAGCCATCGTCAAGAAGATTGAGTTATGAGGGTGTTTTAATGATCCAGATAAGAAATGAAGTCTGAACGGTTTAAGTGCAATTGAGACAAAGAAACAAATTCAGAAGACGGGAAAAGGGATAAAGCTTGATATTTGTGCCTTGAATAACTAGTTGTTCTAAATGTATTAACTATTACTGGACATAATGGAGGAGGAACAGATTTGAAAAGAAAAATGAGTTTGGTTATTATATCCTGTATAGTTGTATGGCTGTTCTTCTACTTTCTTGTCTGACAGAGATGTGCCTGGACTTTAGTAAACAGCAAGTAGCAGTGTGTCTCTCAGCTTTTTTTTTTCCTTCTCATTCCATAAACTACTAACATACATTTAGAAATTTGCTGTGCACTTTCTTAGAGAGTGCATGACAGTGGTTTCCCATTTGTGCCCACTGGTAATTTAAAGGTGAGAATTAGGTAGGTGAAACTAAGAGACGCCCTGTGAAAATAGAAACAGGGCAGACTATACATGAAAAAGCTGATGGGATGACTCCCATTTCCAGAGTTGCATAGATCATACTTTAAAGTTAAAAGGAGTGCTCTTTCACATGATACACTTGCTAAAACATCTATTCCCATTTACTAGTCACTGCACTGTGGGTGCTGTAGCGCCTAAGGTATTTGACTACTAACCCAGAAGGCTAGCGGTTCAAACCCACCAGCCCTTCCTTGGAAGGACGACTGGGCAATCTACTTCCATAGAGATACTGCCCCTCAGAAACCCAAGGAGGGGTCGCTGTGAATCGAGACTGACTTGACCGCCGTTGAGTTTGGTTTGGTTTTTTGCACTGTGGTATATTCCGGTTCATTGGTTAGGAAGCATTTTCCAAGTAAACACCAAAAGTGTATGTTCCTATTACTGCAGTTCTTCTGTATTCCTTTCAGGATATTTTACTCTTTGTGTCTTTCTTTAAATGTATGCTGTGTTTGCTTTATTCTGATCTTAAATAGTATTTACATGTGAGACAGCTAATATTTTATAAAAGTTTTATTTTCAGATATATGATACTATAAAAAAACAGATTCATATGTTTGATAAACCGTATTTTTAAAATGAACTTATTAGAAAACAAATATATGTTACATCTCTGACTTTTTCAGTAAAAACAAAATTTAGTTACTGTATTATATAGCATATACAGCATCAGTATGGTATAACTGTTGGGAATCCCAGCTCTACCATTTAATTAGCTAATTGGACAAATAAAGTAGTCTTCTCTTATCTCAGTTGCCTCATCTGTAAAATAAGCAAAATGAAAGTAATACTTCTAGGATTGTTTCAAAAATTAAATGAGTTAATATATAAAGAAAACATTTAGAATAGTATCTGGCATATACTAAGTACTGTATTAAATGAGTTAATATATAAAGAAAACATTTAGAATAGTATCTGGCATATACTAAGTACTGTATGAGTATTTATTGCTATCGTCTTTATCATCTTTATGTTTTAAAATTTAAAACAATTTAGCTCATTAAAAATAGTACTTTTATTTAGAACTCCTAAATACTTGATTGTAGAATAGGTTATTTTATGGTGATAAAACAATTGTGTTAATTTATATATATATATATATATAGGCTGTAGTTCCTTAATTTTAAATATAAGCAGATTTCTCACATCAAAGGTCTTTTCAGAAAATTAGGATAGTATCTATATGTTATTTACCTTGTAAAAATTTGTCGTGTTCATTTTATCAAGGATGATGATGTGAATAATGTTTCTTTCATAAATACGTATAGGGACAATAACAATAAAATACCAATAGAGAATTTGACTAGACTGTATAATCTTACATACATACACACACATGCATACATACACACAACTGGTAGCAAAAATAGAAAGTAAAAATAAATGTGTGTTACTTTTCTTTATGGCTGTGTTATTAATCATCACTACCTAATAATATTTAAAGTTCAGAAAACAAAATTTTAATGTATTAATAGTAATTATCTCTCAGTCATGAGATTAGAAGTTTTTTTTTTTTTATTGTGATTTGGGTCAAGATTCACAAAGCAAATTCACTTTCCATACAACAATTCACATATACTTTGTCTCATGACATTGACCACAGTTTACCACAATGCAGCAGCTCCCCTTCCACTTCCTCCCCATAGTTACCATTTCTCTGTGTCCATCCCTCCATGGACTACTGCCTCCTGAGCTGTCTCCCTGTGCATAAGCAGCCCTTCTTTCTCCCATGATTTTCTCTACAAGGAGTGTATCCACTTGAGGTAAATGTTCAACTTATATGCCTGTCTTTTGTTTGGCTGGAAACCACAGGTGTGGGTTCAATTCCAGACCTGAAGGGCAGTTAGGGACCATAGTCTCAGTGGTTCCACCAGGCTTTATCGGACCAGCAAACCTGCCCCCCCCTTTTGTTCCCCTCCAAATGATTTTGAGTTTTGTTTCACATTGTTCTCCCTCTCTATCAAGGATCTCCTACATAGATCCCCTTCCAAGTGGATGACAGTGGTAGCCGGGCACCATCTAGTTCTTCTGGTCTCATAGTCATGTAGGCTGCAGATCGAATGGTGTACCAGTTGCTAGGACTAATTGTTTCTATGAATTTTGGTTTGAGATTTGAAGATTTTTAAAGTACGTTTCTATGGTGTTTTTATTTTAAAAGATTAAGTGGTAATAGTAAACATAAGAGTTATCAGAGAAGAGAGGAGAGCTACTTTTTGAAATAATGGTAAGATTTTTATATATAAGCAAGAAAGAAATTTTTAGATCAAGGTAAAAGTTATATCAATGAATGCTGAGAACAGGGAGAGATGAGGATTTCACCGTGGTTGGATTAGGGATTTATTTTGAGAAAATTTGATTAATAAAGATTGGGCCAGATCTTAATGTGTGCTGCCCAAGTTTTAGAAACTGTCACTGTAGAGACATCTTGATTTTCAGAAGAGTCCTAAGTAGTCTTTTTATTATTCCATTTTACAGTAAGGATATTGGGGCACAGACTAGTTAAGTATTTACCAAAGATGGCATACATATCATGTGAGGTGGGGGGAACAACTTTTGAAAATGAGCAGAAAAATCTTCAGTAGAATGTAGAATGTACAGTGAGACACTGTTTTTATTTCCTGAGCTGATACGATAAAAGAGATACTTAGGATGCCTCCAGCAGAAAAGTTTTGATTGATGAGATTGATAAGACGTAGTTTAAGAAATTATTTTAATAACAAAACAGCAGAATAGTGAGTATGTGTGCTGGGATTATGGCTGTAATGGAGATGAATCTGAAAAATACTTTGAAGAAAACTAACTATAGGGGTTGGATGAGTGGAAAATCCAGGCAGAAGCAAAAGTTTCAGGTTCGGGTTATTGGAGTAATCACCTTTCCTTTTTCTTTTTAACAGTGTCCTAGTAATTAGGAGATTAGAATCCTTAAAAAGATGGGGTGCAGTAGAGGTTTGGCAAAAATTTCTTACTTGGAAACAATTAATCTAAGGGACTGGTAGACCATGTAGTGCCCAGCCTGTATGACCATGAGACCAGAAGAACTAGGTAGTGCCCAGCTACCACTGTCAACCACTGAGAGGGGGGGATCGGTGCAGGAGATCCTGGATAGAGTGGGAGAACAATGTGGACCAAAACTCAGAGT